CCCAGGCTGGAGTGCACTGGCGTGATCTCGGCTCACTGCAACCTCTGTTTCCCGGGTTCAAGCAATTTTCCTGCCTCAGCCTCCTGAGTAGTTGGGATTACAGGTGCCCACCACCACGCCGGCTAATTTTTATAGTTTTAGTAGAGACGGCGTTTCACCGTGCTGGCCACGCTGGTCTCGAACTCCTGACCTCAGGTGATCCGCCTGCCTCAGCCTCCCAAAGTTCTGGGATTACAGACATGAGCCACTGCACCTGGCCACAAAGCACTTTTAGCCATGTTTTCTCTCTCACACTCCTGTGTTCTCATTTTATAGATGAGAAAGCTACATTCGGGGAACTTGGGCCGCTGTTTGAAGTCATGCCGCTGTTTGACCGTGGACCTGGTTGTTGGATCCAGGAATTCAGCTTTTAGAATTAACCTCTTGTCTGTGTTGAGAGGCAAATGGTTCATAAAGTATTTTCACGAGAACACTTAGCCTCCCTACGGTGCCAAACACTATAAGAGGCAAAAAGAGTGTCCCAGGGGTTGACCAAGGTCCATCTGGCTGGAGCTTCTCATGTCCCCAAATGGTCTTATGGCCAGTCCCAGGTGCACCATGGAAACCTCAAAAGTAGAAATTTAACATGCAACTTTAAGCTGCTGTCCTATTATTGGATCACATTCCGTCTAGTGAATTAATTTTTTAAATAAATCCCATAATTACTTCACGCAAAGAACAATTATATTGCAAGATGTTGCCATCTGTGGAAGGACATTAAAACACAATGAAGTGGCCGGGCATGGTGGCTCACGCCTGTAATCCCAGCACTTTGGGAGGCCGAGGTGGGTGGATCACTTAAGGCCAGGAGTTCGAGACCAGCCTTGCCAACATGGTGAAACCCCATTTCCACTAAAAATACAAAAATTAGCTGGGTGTTGTGGCGCGTGCTTGTAGTCCCAGCTACTTGGGAAGCTAAGGCAGGAGAATCGATTGAACCTGGGAGGTGGGCCGGGCGCGGTGGCTCATGCCTGTAATCCCAGCACTTTGGGAGGCCGAGACGGGAGGATCACGAGGTCAGGAGATCAAGACCAACCTGGCTAACACGGTGAAACCCCGACTCTACTAAAAATACAGAAAAACTAGCCAGGCGTGGTGGCGGGCGCCTGTAGTCCCAGCTACTTGGGAGGCTGAGGCAGGAGAATGGCGTGAACCCGGGAGGCGGAGCTTGCAGTGAGCTGAGATCCGGCCACTGCACTCCAGCCTGGGCAACAGAGAAAGACTCCGTCTCAAAAAACAAACAAATAAATGAACCCGGGAGGTGGAGGCTGCAGTGAGCCAAGATCACACCACTGCACTCCAGCCTGAGCAACAAGAGTGAAACTCTGTCTAAAAACAAAACAAAACAAAACAAAAAATTACTTTGGGGTGTGTGTATGTATATTTCAAATGGTTGAATTGTTCATTAAAAATATTTCAAATATGCCATAAAATCCTATTTGGAGGCATTTCTTCATGTTGTACCACACACAAGAAAGCATCAAAAAAGAATTGGTGGCCGGGAGAGGTGGCTCACGCCTGTAATCCCAGCACTTTCCAGCACTTTGGGAGGCTGAGGCGGGTGGATCATGAGGTCAGGAGTTCAAGACCAGCCTGACCAATATGGAGAAACCCTGTCTCTACTAAAAATACAATATTAGCTGGGCGTGGTGGCGCATGCCTGTAATCCCAGCTATTTGGGAGGCTGAGGCAGGAGAATTGCTTGAACCTGGGAGGTGGAGATTGTGGTGAGCCAAGATCGCACTATTGCATCCCAGCCTGGGCAATAAGAGTGAAACTCCATCTCAAAAAAAAAAGAAAGAAAAGAAAAGAAAAAAAAAAGAATACTTACACTCCTAGGCATTACCCAAGAGAAATGAAAACATATTTCCACACAAAGACCTGTACGCAGAAGTTTATAGCAGGTTTATTTGTAATCATCGAAAACTGGAAAGAACCATTACGTAATGGATAAAAGAATGGTGGCTCATTCTTGCCATGGAATACAGCTCCATAATAAAAGGCAACGAGCTACTAATACACGCAACAGCATAGTTGCATCTTGAATGCATTGTGCTGAATGAAAGCAGCAGACCCCAGAGGACGCATATTGCATTTTTCCTTCTCTACGCTGTTGTTATGAAATGCAGAGAACAGATCAGCAGTTACTAGTGGCTGCGGGTGGACAAAGGCGTTGACCAAAAGGGCATGATACAACATTCTTTTTTTCTTTTTTTTGAGATGGAGCCTGGCTCTGTCGCCCAGGCTGGAGTGCAGTGACGCAATCTCGGCTCACTACAAGCTCCGCCTCCCGGGTTCAAGCCATTCTCCTGCCTCAGCCTCCTGAGTAGCTGGGACTACAGGTGCCCGCCACCATGCCCGGCTAATTTTTTGTATTTTTAGTAGAGACGGGGTTTCACCGTGTTAGCCAGGATGGTCTTGATCTCCTGACCTCGTGATCTACCCGCCTTGGCCTCCCAAAGTGCTGGGATTACAGGCATGAGCCACTGCTCCCAGCCAGCATGAGATAACATTCTGAATGAAGATGCTGTTGAACATCTCAGTTGTGATACTGGCTACATAACTGCATGTTTGTCACACCTATTCTATTTATTTATTTTCATTTATTTATCTTGGAGACAGGGTCTCCCTCTGTCACCCAGGCTGAAGTGCAATGGTGCAATCATGGCTCGCTGCAGCCTTGACCTCATAGGTTCAAGCGATCCTCCCACTTCAGCCTCCTTAATAGCTGAGACAACAGGTGCACGCTACCACGCCCAGCTAATTTTTGTATTTTTGTAGAGATGGGCTATGTTTCCCAGGCGGGTCTCGAATTTCCAGGTTCAAGCAATCCTCCCACCTCAGCCTCCCAAAGTGGTGAGATTACAGGTGTGAGTGACCCTGCCTAGCCAAACCTGTCCTCTTTATTAAAAATGCATTTTAGTGTATGTATATTGCATCTCGAATACACTTTAAAAATAAAGAATTCGGGCCACCAAAGATTTCTGTCTCACAATTCACTGTTGTCAAAAAAATGCCAGGAAGCTCAAGCCTGTAATCCCAGCACTTTGGGAGGCCGAGACGGGCGGATCACGAGGTCAGGAGATCGAGACCATCCTGGCGAACACGGTGAAACCCCGTCTCTACTAAAAATACAAAAAATTAGCCGGGCGAGGTGGCGGGCGCCTGTAGTCCCAGCTACTCGGAGGCTGAGGCAGGAGAATGGCGTGAACCCGGGAGGCGGGCTTGCAGTGAGCTGAGATCCGGCCACTGCCTCCAGCCTGGGCGACAGAGCGAGACTCCGTCTCAAAAAAAAAAAAAAAAAAAAAAAATGTAAAATGGATCACCTTACAACTGCTAGAATAGCTATTATCAAAAAGATGAAGAGTACCAAATGTTGGCAAGGATTTGAAGAGAACACTTATGCACTATTGATGGTAATTTTAATTAGTATAGCCATTATAGAAAATGGTATGGAAGTTCAAAGAAAAATTTAAAAATGAGACTACCAGATGATCCAGCAATCCACTTCCTGGTATTTATCCAAAGGAACTGAAATCAGCATGTCAGGCCGAGCACAGGGGCTCACGCCTGTAATCCTAACACTTTGGGAGGACAAAGGCGGGGGGATCGCTCCTAAGGCCAGGAGTTTGAGATCATCTGGCCAACATGGTGGAAGGCCCCGTCTCTACTAAAAATACAAAATTAGCTGGGTGTGGTGGCGGGCGCCTGTAGTCCCAGCTGCTCCGGGGAAGGCTGAGGCACAAGAATGGCCAGACCGGGAGGTGGATGTTGCAGTGAGCCGAAGTTTGCACCACTGCACTCTAGCCTGGGCAACAGACCCGAGACTCTGTCTCAAAAACAAAAACACAAAAAAGGGCCGGGCGCAGTGGCTCAAGCCTGTAGTCCCAGCACTTTGGGAGGCCGAGACGGGCGGATCACGAGATCAGGAGATCGAGACCATCTGGCTAACACGGTGAAACTCCGTCTCTACTAAAAAATACAAAAAACCCCGCCCGGCGTGGTGGCAGGTGCCTGTAGTCAGCGCCGGGAGGCTGAGGCAGGAGAATGGCGTAAACCCGGGAGGCGGAGCTTGCAGTGAGCTGAGATCCGCCACTGCACTCCAGCCTGGGCGACAGAGACTCCGTCTCAAAAAAAAAAAAAAAAAACAAAACAAAAAAAACACAAAAAAAAAAATCCGGAGTTATTGAAAGATAAGAAATAGTGCGTAAATAAAATAGAAGAGGGAGATTCTGACATGCTAGGATATAATGAAGTGCGTAAATGAATGAATGAATAAATGAATGGGAATAAGAACTGGGTACGCAATTTTTCCCTTATCTCTCCCTGTTCTCCCAGCTCAAAACGCTTTCGCCCTGCCTGGCTTTTCGGCCTCCTCTTGGCGCCCCCTGCCGGTGGGCCCGCTCGCCTATACTCAACCCCGAATCATGACTCGCCCCCTCTGGCCGGGCCTTCAGTCTAGGTCCTGATTGGCTCAGAGTCGCTCGCCATGCCCAGCACCCGGGAAATGTAGTCCTTAAGGGTATCGCGCGGGCTTTTCCACTAGGCTCTGACGTAAGAGACAGCCACGGAAGTACGTCGCAGATTTCGCCAGTTCTAAGGGTAGGTCGTGTGGCGCTGCATGACAGGAATTGTAGTCCTCAAATTGCTACTTCCCTGTGTAGTCATGTACTTTGGGACTGGAACGCCAATTCCCATCCTTACCACTCACAGCTCAGAGATATCTATGCTAAGAAAAGTCTCAATCTCTCCTGATTTACTTTATTCCTATAAGTAAACCTGCAAGCGAACTCCATTTACAACGCGCTCCATGCGTCAGTCGCAGCAACCACATTCCGCCCGAGAACCCCTAAGATCAGCGAGGGGAGACGCCTGGTGAAGGTTGCCTCCGCACAACCAGGCTCCTGATCCTCGTCTCCCCGTTCTCGGCGGCGGCCCATGGCCTGGCGGAGGCGAGGCTCATGGACCTCCGCACCGCCGTATATAACGCTGCCACGTGACGGCAAGCTGCAGCTACTCCAGAAGCTGCTCAGCGGCGAACCGAAGAACTGGACGAGCTGACGGGCGAGGTGGCCGGCGGGGGGACGCCGCTGCTCATCGCCGCGCGCTACGGCCACCTGGATGTGGTGGAGTACCTGGTGGACCGGTGCGGCGCAGGCGTGGAGGCCGGTGGCTCAGTGCACTTCGATGGCGAGACCATCGAGGGCGCGCCACTCAGCTGGGCCGCCTCCGCCGCCGGCCACCTGGACGTGGTGCGGAGCCTGCTAAGGCGGGGCCTCGGTAGACGCACCACGCGCACCAGCTCCACGCCCCTGCGCGCCGCCTGCTTCGACAGCCACCTGGAGGTAGTGCGCTACCTGGTCGGCGAGCACCAGGTAGGCCGGGGTGTGGCGGCACGGCCGCATCACCTAGTAATCTCATCTTCAGGAGTTGGTTTGGACAGGACCGGGTGAACCATTTGGCCCTTAGGGTGTCATTTTGCGACTGCTTGAGTCCGTAGCCTGAATCTGCCTTCTTGCTTTGGGGTTGTAGGGCCGTGGGTGTTGTGAGGCACATGACCCGGCTGCTCGGCCAGTGTGACAGGCCACACCAACATTCGTGGTACCTCATCCAGGAGCAGCCGGCCAGGGCAGATCGCAGGGGAGAGGCTCAGCCTGGGCTGCCCCAAGAGAGAGCCCTCTGCCAGCCAGGAGTGCAGCCTCCAGGGCTCCATGCTTGCAGCTCCTCCCGGAGGAACCACTGAGCGGGAATCTTGCAGCTGCGCCCACCAGCCGGGAAGCTGCCGGTGACCTTAGAATTGCTGGGAGGCTACGCGCATGGATAAGCGAGATCTGCTTGGAGCCCTCAAACACTTGGGCCCGAGCCATGAGGCCCTCGTCACCAGGGTGGCGAATACCTGCCCAAACCGGAGCCCCACAGCTGGTCTACAGCCTATGACTATTCCAGGGAGAGTCAGCACCACCGAGGAACTGGAGCGCTGATCTGCTGACCGGATGAGATGCGCATGCAGGCCCTGCGTGATCCGGAGCGCATCCTGATCCTCGCACCTGACTTACTTCCCTATTATATCCGTTACAGGGCGCCGTGTCACGCCCGACTCGGGCAATTTCGAGCGCTGCATCCGCTTGCGATACGCCTGGGCCACAACAGACCAACCTGGAGCCTCCTGAGCCCCATGACACGCCAGCAGCCTCTCCTTAGGAACTCTTCTCCTACGTGCTGCAGGACCGGGCCGCCAAGGGCAGTCTGGGCACCCAGATCGGCTTTGCAGACTGGCCAGAGTCCTCACCAAAGAGGTCCGGGAAGTGGAGCGGGCCCCTGCAGCTGCAGGGAGCCGGAGACTCGGCCCAGTTCACCAAGGCGCTGGCCATCATCCTCCACCTGCTCTACCTGCTAGAGAAAGTGGAGTGCACCCCAACCAGGAGCACCTGAAGCACCAGACCGTCTACCGCCTGCTCAGAGTGCGCGCCCAGGAGCAGACGGCTTCACCCCTCTGCACATGGCTGTGGACCAGGACACCTGGCGTGGGCACTTCCCGTGGGTCAGATTCCCCTCCCTGCCGCGTGGTCAAAGTGCTGCTTTCGACTGCGGGGCACAGGCCAGTTAACAAGGGATTTTGACAACAACACCCCACTACACATAGCAACCCAGAACAACTGCTGTGTCATGAATGCTGATCGAGCAGGGGCCCACATGGATACCACCAACGCCCTTCAAGAAGGCCTGCGAGCTGCTGGACAGAAGCTGCTGGCCAGAAATTTACCATGCAGCCCTTCAACTACGTTACCCTGCAGTGCCTTGCGGCGGGGCCTGGATAAGAACAAGATCCTTACAAGGGCTTCATCCGGAAGATCTGGAGGCATTCATTGAACACACTGACCTGCAGAAACGATATCTCCCCCTCCTCTCACGCTCCTGCTGGCGAAGCTCGGGCTGGGGTGTAGCAGATGCGCCTTCTTGCCTCCTTCCGGCACCAATCAGGAGAAGGGGTTCTTCCGCCTCCCATCCACCATTACCACAGAGGTGGGAGGTGTTAAGAAACTTTGGTGCTAGAGAGCCTTCGGGGTCACGTGCTGAGGACGGGGGTCTCTCAAGCCAGCTCCTCATTCAGTCACGCGCAGCCCTCCACCCTCCTCTCCTACCTAGAACCCAAAACCTTACCTTAGCCTAAAGTGGAAAGAGACAAGCAATGTTCCTTCCCTACTAGAAGCTTACAGGAAAGAGGTGAGGCAGCCTTCCTTCCCTTGTCCTGCGTGGCGGATGCTCCAGCTGCAGGCTACAGGCGTTAGGACTACGAGGCTCCAAGATGAGAGTTTGAAAGTCAGGGAATGAGCCACCTCTCATTTCTTCCCAGCATGATCACGCCCTGCTCGGGCCACCGTAGTCCCTGGCAGACAGGCAGGGCTCTGCCAGGGCAGCCTGCACTTGCATAGCACCGGTTGGTTTGGTGTTCTATTGTTTATTTAATAAGTGGGCAAGGTTGCAAGCATTGCACAAGTTCTGATTTACCTGCCTTTTTTTTTTTTTTTTAAAGTTGTTGTTAGGACTCATAATTAATTTAATTGAAGTTCTTGTGGTGCCTGAGATGGCGAGGAGCCACAGGGTAAACTCATATGTGTGAGGAATTTGGTGGCGAGATAAAAGTCCATGGGTGTCGACCCTAAAACAGGTGACCGTGCATTTATACATCCATCACATACATTTCCGATTCCCAATAGTCTCAATTTTCCAACTATCATTAGAAAGACATTTATTTCTTCCAAGCAGAAATCGGAGTGACCACAAAACCGACAACACTTTACCACAGCAAGAACTATGATTGGTTTGAAAGATCTGCATGGCCATCGTGCCCGAGTTAAAACTACAGGCCACTCCGCCTTGCAAACTCCACGTAGCCTCTGATTTCATTGTGGTGCATCACAGGTGGCCCGGGCCTGTTTTCAGCTGTAGGAATTAGGACCAAGTCATCATGAAAAAGGCCCAAGTACAGTCTTCATGCAATAAATCCTGCTCAGGCATTGTTTATAGACCAGCACTGTGAGCCAGACAAGTCAAAGGTTTCCACATCTCAGGGGTGAGGTGCTGGGGCTGCCAGAGGACCTGCCCCAGCAAGACTCTCAAGAGCGAGACTCAGCATCAGCCCAGGCAGACAGGAGCAGGTTCTTGAGGCGGCATAGACAGCAGCAAACAGCAGAAGAAAGCATTGTCACTACACCCTCCTGCAGTAGCCAGGCCATAGGAGGAGCAGCCACAGTGTCAGAAACGTCTGTCCCTGGATGCAGAAACTAGGTCTCGTTTGGATTTTTTTTTTTTTTTTTTGCTGTGTTAGAAATTATTTATTGCAAGACAGGTTTTTATTCACTCAGCCAAGGTGAGCTAGTCCCCATCCCTCCCAGCAGGCACAGAAATGAGGCCGTTTACATTGCAAGTCTATAAAGTAATTGTTTAAGTCATTAAAAAGAGTACTGGAAAATTCTTCAATCGATGTGGCGTGGTCAACTGGGGAAGTGGGAGGTGGGGATCCGTCCATGGCATTGGTCTGAGTGACTGAAAGCCCTGGGAGCCACCTCCTAGCCAGAGAGGTTTCTATGTTATATACTGGGGCTTATTTTTATTTTATTATTATTTTTTGAGACAAGTCTCGCCCTGTCACCCAGGCTGGAGTGCAATGGCATGATCTCGGCTCACTGCAACCCCTGCCTCCCGGGTTCAAGTGATTCTCCTGCCTCAGCCTCCTAAGTAGCTGAGATTACAGGCACCTGCCACCATGCCCAGCTAATTTTTTGTATTTTCCCATAGACGCAGGTTTTGCCATGGCTGGCCAGGCTGGTCTCAAACTCCTGGACTCAAGCAGTCTTCCCCTCGGTCTCCCAAAGTGTAAATTCTAAGCATGAACCACTGCACACAGCCTCTATGTATACTGGGGCTTTGTGTAAAATTTCATTTGAAAAACAGTATGTTGCTGTATTAAAAAAAAAAAAAAAAAAAAAAAAGGCCTGAGCAGCTCAAGCCTCATCTTCAAAAAATAAAATAGTCTGGAGTATAGTGACTCACATCTGTAATCTCAGCACCTTGGGAAACTAAACAGCATAGTAAGACCTCTGTATCTCTAATTTTTTTTTTTTTTTTTTTTTTGAGATGAGTCTCACTCTCTGTCACTCGGGCTGTAGTGCAATTCTTGCGCACATCGGCTCCGCCTGCAACCTCCGCCTCCCGGGTTCAAGTGATTCTCCGCCTCAGTCTCCCAAGCAGCTGGGACTACGGCATATGCCTGTGCCAGCTGGTGTATTGTGAGTAGAGGCGGAGTTTCTGTAACATGGTGATGAACTCCTGACCGCACCCGATCGCCTGCCAAGTCCTGGGATTACAGGCACTGAGCCACACTGGCCTCTGGGGTCATTTTTAAAGTAACCAGGAATGCTGGCATGCACCTGTAATCCCATCATGAAGTGAGTGGGAGGATCACTTGAGCTGGAGTTGAGGCACGGTGAGCCATGACCACCACTGCACTCCGTCTGACGACCAAAAAAAAGCCAAAACCACTAACCCCCTGCTTTTTGGGCGCAGGTTACCTCTAGAAGGAAAAGAGGTGGTTCCTTTAAGTTACAGAGAGAAATGAAGTTCGCGAGGCCTCCCAGGAGGGCTGGTGCCTAGGGAGCTGGGATGGGGATGGTGGAGAGCTGTGTGTTGGTGTTTGTGTTTGGTCAAGAGCCTATCCTGCTTTCTTGAAACTCACCGATGAAGCTAGTAAACATCTTTGGTGAACTTGATTTCTAGAAGCTGGTTCAGGTTTAGTGAGGAAAATCCCCTTCCCTTTTCTTTTTTTTTTTTTCTTTTAGATGGGTCTTGCTCTGTCACCAGGCACAGGGTGCAGGAGGTGCAATCCTGGCAACCTCCGCTTCTGCAGGTTCAAGCAATTCCTCCACTGCCTCAGCCCCCTGAGTACTTTAAAGGATTACAGCGTGCACCACCACACCTGGCTATTTTATATTTTTGACATTAAGAGACAGAGTTTCCCACATTGTTTAGCCCGTGGTCTCAAATTCTAACCTCAAATGATCCACCCGCCTCAGCCTCCCAAAGTGCTGGGATTATAGGCGTAGGCCACACCAGGCCATGCCCCCCTTTTTTTTTCTTAAGTAACATCTCATCCTTGTGTGTAAATTTGTTTCCATTCCTGGTCTGGTTTCCTATTAGACAGTCCAGGCCTGGCACCACCCCGTTAAGCAGGCCTGTTGGGGATTTTGCTGAGCCCCATGTGCCAGGCAGTTCAGGCCCTGGGGATAAAGATGGAGCTGTCGTCTCAACGTGTGGTTAATCCCTGTGCCCCGCCGCCGTGGCAGTGGAGGAGGCCACTGCTGTGAGTCATTGCTGCCATGGTGTTTTTTGGGTTGGAGGCTCTCCCAGGGACAGGCGTCTCCTCTCTTGCCTTCACGCACCTGTTGTCTGGTTTCATTTGGGACTGGACAGTGCCACAGGTGACAGTTGTTGGGCTGTTGTCTGTTTGGTGTGGCATCAAAGGAGTGGATTTGAATCAGCAGGTGCTGCTCTCAGAAAGCCAGCTCCTGGGGAACCTGATACTAAAGTGACATTGTTGACACCTACTACATGCCAGGCACCATTCTCATAGTTAAATGCACTTCCTGATTTTAACAACCCTCTAAAGGAAACGCATATCAGAGTCCATGGATGGGAAGTGAGGGTTGGTGAGAATAGCCTTTGGGTTCAGGTTGGGGATCAGGCGGATCCCGGTGGTTTGCAAGGCTGGCTGTTGGCTCTGGGGACTGGAGTAGGTGGGGCGTCCCAAGATGACCACCATGAAAAGGCATCTTTCTCCCCAGTCAGTAGGTCCTATCTAAAGTAGGTCCTGGCCAGTCACAGTGGATCATTGCCTGTAATCCCAGCACCTTGGGAGGCCAGGCTGGAGTGCTTGAGGCCTAGGTTTGAGGCCAGCATGGGCAGCAAGAGTGAGATCCTGTCTCTACAAAAAAAAAAAAAAAAGATGGCCAAGGCGTGGGGATGTGTAGTCCCAGCTGCTGCTGGGAGGCTGGAAGCAGGAGGATTGATTGAGCCCAGGAGCTTGAGGCTGGCGAGCCTTGATCGCACCACCACACTCCAGCCGGGCAACAAGGCAGACCCTGTTTCAAAAAAACAAAGTAGGTCCTGTATGGCAGGCGGGAACTGAGGCTCACTGGCAGCGTTGGGTACCTTGGATGGCCGGGCGTGGTGGCTCACACCTGTAATCCCAGCAATTTAGGAGGCCAAGGCGGGAGGATCATGAGGTCAGGAGATGGAGATCATCCGGCTAAAAGCAGCAGGTGACCCTGTCTCTACTAAAAATAAAAAAAAATTCGCCCAGGCAGTGGCGACCGTAGTCCCAGCTACTCAGGAGAGCTGAGGCAGGAGAATGGCGTGTAGACAGGAGGCGGAGCTTGCAGTGAGCCGATATGGCGCCACTGCACTCCAGCCTGGCGTACAGACAAGAGACTCCGTCTCAAAAAAAAAAAAAAAAAAAAAAATGCCTGAGACAAAGACAGGCGCATGGAAGGAAGGGCTGAGATTGGAACCCAGGGCTGTCAGAGTTCATACCTTGTGCTGATTCTCCATCCCGGGCGGCATTGCAGATCTTCCCTGCTTTCTGGTGGTGGTGGTTTGGCATAAGCTGTCCCCTACAGGGCGTGGTGTGGCCATCTGCACTCCATCACAGCGTCTGTTTCCCGAGTCACACAGAATAGTCCCCTGCCCCAAGCAAATCCTCCACAAAAATTATCTGGGCCTACAAATGCTTGCTGAGCTCAGACATAGGAATGGTAACTTCAGCCTCCTTACCTCCTAATGAAGGCCATCTTAAAAACTCTGCAGTTTCAGGTGAGGGGCTGAGCCAGCGGATCCCAGTTAACACAAAGACCTGGTTGCGGCTGGGCGCGGTGGCTCAGCCTGTAATCCCAGCACTTTGGGAGGCCAGAGGCAGGCGGATCACGAGGTCAGAAGGCTGGGATATCACCTGGCCTAACACGGTGAAACCCCGTCTCTACTAAAAATACAAAAAAAAAAACTAGCGGGCGAGGTGGTGGCGCTTGTAGTCCCAGCTACTGGGAAACTGGCTCAAATAAGCATATTTTGCTCAAACTGGAAACTGCTGTGAAACTGGGTCCCTTACCTCAGTCTGGGCGACACAGCAAGACTCTGTCTCAAAAAAAAAAAAAAAAGACCTGGTTAAAAAAAAAGACCTGGTTGCTAGTTCCCCTGAGACTGGGGTGGGGGTGGGGATCCCAGGATGACCACCAGGAGAAAAGAGAACATCTTCCTCCAGGTCAAATCCCAAGATTCGTGACCGAGCGCGGTGGCTCACGCCTGTAATCCCAGCACTTCGGGAGACTGAGGCGGGTGGATCACGAGGTCAGGAGTTCGAGACCATTCTGGTCAACATGGTGAAACCCTATCTATGCTAAAAATACAAAAAATTAGCCGGGCACGGTGGCAGGCACCTGTAATCCCAGCTACTCGGGAGGCTGAGGCAGGAGAATCGCTTGAATCTGGGAGGTGGAGGTTGCAGTGAGCCAAGACCGTGCCACTGCACTCCAGTCTGGGCAACAGAGTGAGACTCTGTCTCAAAAACAAACAAAAAACACCAAGATTAGCTCTGATTGGACCAGCCTGGGTCCCATGTTCTTCCATGACCCAATCGTAGTATCTACCTCAGGGGTGGGATGTGCCAATTGGCTTGGCCTGGGGAGGGCCCCCCACCAGAGGGTCTGTAATCCACGTGTAACTGGGGTTGCTGTAAAATAGGGCCATCAACGCCATCAAGGGTAGCAAGAACTGTCCACAATAATAAAATGACTACCTGACGCTGATCAGTGAAGTAAAAAGCTCAGAGAGGTCAAGTGGAGTGCCTAAGGCCATGAAGCCAAGAGGGTGACCCAGGTCGTCTGTGGTTAAATGCACTGCCTGTTTACACAGCAGCCCTTTAAAGAAGGAAAAACATGGATGGAAGAAAAATAAGAATAATAAAGTAGGAAAAACAGCCCTCTTAAGATGAAGGCCAGCTTAAAGCTCTATGAGCTTCAGGTGAGGGCTGATCCAGCAGGTCCCAGAGAAACAGGCTCACAGAGAGGGGAGGGGGCTTCTCTAAGCTTACCCAGTCGGGAAACATCAGGGTCAAAGCTTAACCCCTGCTGGAAGGTGTTGAGAGCCAGGCAGCCCAGCCTGACCTGGGAGATGGGGGAGTGGGGGCCCCCCAAGCTCGCAAACCGCCCGTCCCAGCCTGCTGCCAATCTGATTCCACAGAACTGAAGTGGGGGTCTGGAGTTCTTCTCATTTGCTCATCTACTCGGTCAGTGACTTTCTCAGACCCTCCCCAACCCTTTGAGGGTCTTGGTCACTGCTGCGTCCTCAGCACCCGGGCCAGGGTCTGTCCCACGCCAGGTGGCCTGTAAATACGGGCTGAGCGAGTGAACAGTGAACGAGCTGGGAATTCGCGACCTCCTCTGACTACTTGGGGCAGCAGCAGGGGACACGAGCAGGCCCCGATGGCTTTGCCAGACCCCAGGGGGCCGCCGCCCCCGTGAAATTCCAGGACTGTTATCTGAGCAACGTCGATGGGGAGGGAACGCCCCTGCCCGAGGTTAAAGATAGCACCACTCGAATCACGTCACAGGCCGAAAAGGCCAGATGACCCACCGGGGACACTGAATCCATGTCCCGAGAGAGAGGGGTGGAGCGGGGGTGTGGATTCCTGCGGGGAGCTTCGGGACTGGAAAAAACAGAGGGTGCTCTGACCGAGTGTTTACCAAAACATGTATTAGGCAAGACCCGGGCCAAATGTGGGCAGCATTGCCCATGTGCTGGGCCAAGAGAATGTGCCCCTGCTGGTCCCAGCTCCTGTTTCTCCAGTGGGTTGTACAAGACACCTTGAACTTCCACACAAACTGGGACATTTAGAATTCCCCAGGACAGCCCCCTCCCTCCGCCCTGTGCCTTGATATCTCCTATTAAAGCTTATCTCTGAATGTCTGTTAACTTAATAGACATGATTTAATGATTGATATTAATTCAAATTTATTAATTTGAATTATTAACTTCTTAATTATTTGATGTCGATTAAAGCAATGATCTTGATCCAATGTCATCTCCTCCATGAAGCCTTCACGGATTATCTAAGGTGCAGTCCCACAGCCAGGGACAGTGGCTCCTGCCTGTAATCCCAGCATTTTGGGAGGCTGAGGTGGGAGGATCGCTTGAGCCCAGGAGGTGGAGGCCGTAGTGAGCTGTGATCACACCACTGCACTTCAGCCTGGGTGACAGAGGGAGACCCTGTCTCAAGATAAATAAATAATTAATATGAGTTAAATGTTTTTTACATTTTTAATGGCTTTTATATTTTTTAATGGAGATATAAGTTGCAAAACATAAAATTCACTTTTTTTTTTTGAGACGGAGTTTTGCTGTGTCACCCAGGCTGGAGTGCAGTGGCACGATCTCTGCTCACTGCAGCCTCCGCCTCCCGGGTTGACACCATTCTCCTGCCTCAGCCTCCTTGAGTAGTTGGGACTACAGGTGCCCACCACCACGCCTGGATAATTTTTTATATTTTTAGTAGAGACGGAGTTTCACCATGTTAGCCAGGATGGTCTTGATCTCCTGACCTCAGGTGATCCTCCCGCCTCAGCCTCCCAAAGTGCTGGGATTACAGGCGTGAGCCACCATGCCTGGCCACAATTCACCATTTTAACATGGATAATTCAGGGGCTTTTAGTATATGTACAAGGTTGTACAACTATCACCAAGATGTAATTCCCAAAAAAAAATGACTGATTTTTAAAGCCTATTTAAAGAAAAATGTTAACTGGCTCAAACGATAGAAAATACAGTAAAGAGCCAGGCACAACGGCAAACACCTGTAATCCCAGCTACTCAGGAGGGTGAGATGAGAGGATCACTGAAGGCCCGGAGTTCAAAACCAGCCAACACCACAAGACCCCATCTCTTAAAAGAAAAAAGAAAAGAAAATGCATTGATTTGGCCAGGTGCAGTGGCTCACGCCTGAAATCCCAGCACTTTGGGAGGCCGAGGCAGGAGAATCATTTGAGGCCAGGAGTTCAAGACCAGCCTGGCCAACATGGTGAAACCCCATCTCTACTAAAAACACAAAATTAGCCAGGTGTGGTGGTGCGTGCCTATAATCCCAGCTGCTCGGGAGGCTGAGGCATGAGAATCACTTGAACCCAGGAAGTGGAGGTTGCAGTGAGCTGAGATTGTGCCACTGCCACTCCAGCCTGGGCAACAGAGTGAGACTTCGTCTCAAAATAAATAAATAAATAAATAAATAAATAATAAAAAATAAAAATAGAGACAGGGGTCTCACTGTGTTGGCCAGGCTGGTCCCAAACTCCTGGGCTTAAGTGATCCACCTCAGCCTCCCCAAATACAGGGATTACAGGAAAGAGCCACTGTACCCAGACACTCCTTTTCCTCAGAAGAGAAAAAGTTTTGCAGCTTCCCTTGGAAACTGGAGACCGTGGCAGCCTCCCAGGGCTATTATAAGGCCACAGCCACTGAACAGGTTAAAAATAAAAGATCCCCGCCCAGGGGCACTTGGGGATGGCATTTGTGAGCCCAGGCAAGCCCCAGGGCTGCAGGGAGACACTCTTGGGGGAGGAGACTGGAGAAGAGCCTGCTGTGTGGCCTCAGGCTGGCATCTGCCCTCTCTGGGCTCTAGCCGGGCTGGAAACAATATTAGACAGAGATTTCCAAAGATCCCGCACCTGTGCACACCTGAGGATGAACTCTGCCTTTAATTTGTCTCTGAGGAACCTCCCTGGCCTCATCCTAGTCCTGGCTTTACAGTCTCACTGTGTGACTTTGCAAAGCGACACGACTGCTCTGTGCCTCAGTTTCCCCATCTGCAAAAGGGGGCAAAAAGAGCCCTAGTGACCTGCCAATGGGGATGGGTATTTGGCTGTCATTATTGTTGCAATTATTTATTTATTTGTTTATTGTTGAGGCAGAGTATTGCTCTGTCACCCAGGCTGGAGTGCAGTGGCGCCGTATTGGCTCATTGCAATCTCCGCCGCCCGGGTTCAAGCGATTCTCCTGCCTCAGCCTCCCGAATAGCTGGGACTACAGATGCCGGCCACCGTGCCCAGCTAATTTTTGTATTTTTAGTAGAGATAGGGTTTCACCATGTTGGCCAGGCTGGTCTCGAACTCCTGACCTCAGGTGATCTACCCGCCTCGACTTCCCAAAGTGCTGGGATTACAGGCGTGAGCCACCGCACCCGGTCTATTGTTGCAATTTACAGAGGGACGAGGAGGCTGTTGGCATGGCTGGGAACTGGGCACTTTTTCAGGACCCCTCCCGCTTTGGGCTGTCTCTTTGGAGCAGGACGGGGAAAGAGGGACTGTCCCGGCGCCAGCCGTCGTTGGGAGAGGCTGGAACCGCTGTCCGATGGTGCCCTCTGGTGGCAGCATCTGCTCATTGCGGCACCTTCTGGGTCCCCACAGATAATTCACGCCTCCCCTACCTCCAGGCTTGGGGGACACAAGGCCTGCACCAAGGTGGGCCACACTGGCTCCCCTCGGTCCCTTGGAGGCTCCACACTCCCTCCTACCCCTCCAGGTTGTTGCCTGTGCCATGCCCTCCACCCGGAGTGCCCTTTCCTTCCTGGGGGCTGCAGAGAGCTCTGAGCACTACTGGTGGGTTCAGATCCCTGCCCCCGGGGCCCCGCCCCCTAGTTCCTTCTGCATCCGGGTCGCACCCAGGGCAAGCCCACAGGAGACCACCCACTCCTGTGCCCGCCTCCCCTTGGAGCTGTGAGCCCCGTGAGGGCAGCAACGGGATCCGTCCCAGAAAACATCGTCCACCTCATCTGAAGCCACCCCTGGCATATAGTAGATGCTCAATACACACTGCTCAGCAAAGGAATGAACAGATAATGGGGGGAATGAACAAAATACACCAGCTAGCAGGAAGCGAACATGGAATCGAGAATCGGAAAAACTGACTTGAGGCCAGGTGCAGAAGCTCACGCCTGCAACCCAACACTGGGAGGCCAAGGCGGGAGGATTGCTTGAGCCCAGGAGTTCGAGACCAGCCTGGGCAACGTGGTGAAACTCCATCTCTACAAAACATGTAAGGCTGGGTGCAGTGGCTCATGCCTGTAATCCCAGCACTTTGGGAAGTTGAGGCAGGAGAATCGTTTGAGGTCAGGAGTTCGAGACCAGCCTGGCCAACATGGTGAAACCCCGTCTCTACTAAAACTACAAAAAAAATTAGCTGGATGTGGTGGCACATGCCTGTAATCCCAGCTACTCAGGAGGCTGAGGTGGGAGGATTGCTTGAGCCTGGGAGGTCGAGGCCGCAGTGAGCTGTGATCACAACACTGCACTCCAGCCTGAGCAACAGTGAGACCCTGTCTCAAAAAAAAAAAAAAAAAAAAAAGCAGCTAGGCATGGTGGTGCATGCTTGTAATCCCAACACTTTGGGAGGCCAAGCTGGGCAGATTGCTTAAACCCAGAAGTTTGAAACCAGCCAGGGCAACACAGCAAAACCCTTTCTTTACAAAAATTACCTGCGTGTGATGGCATGCACCTGTGGTCCCAGCTTCTCAGGAGGCTGAGGTGGGAGGATTGCCTGACCTGGAAGGGTTGAGGCTGCAGTGAGCTGTGATGGCATCACTGCATTCCAGCCTGGGTGACAGAGTGGGACCCTGTCTCAAAAAAAAAAAAATTAAATAAATAAAATTTTAAAAAGACTTGGGCATCCACCGGGCATGGTGGCTCATGCCTGTCATCCCAGCACTTTGGGAGGCTAAGGCGGACAGATCACTTGAGGTCAGGAGTTGGAGACCAGCCTGACCAACACAGTGAAACCCCATCTCTACTAAAAATACAAAACTAGCCGGGCTTGCTGGCGTGTGCCTGTAATCCCAGCTACTTGGGAGGCTGAGATAGGAGAATCACTTGAACCCAGGAGGCAGAGGTTGCAGTGAGCCGAGATGGCGCCACTGCACTCCAGCCTTGGCAACAAGAGTGAAACTCTGTCTCAAAAAAAAAAAAAAAAAAAAAAAAAAGACCTGGGGATCAATTCAAATTCAAACATTTATTGAGCATCTGGGATCCCACAATCAAGTCCACAGACAGGCATAGACATGTGGGCCCTGAATAAGTTAGTCGGATTTGTCTCAAACTCCAAAGTGCTGTGGAAAGATGAAGCATATTCAGGGGATCTGGTGGGTGCTGTTTTGAATGAATTTTATTTTATTTTGTTTGTTTGTTTATTTATTTATTTATTTTGAGACAGAGTCTCACTGTGTTGCCCAGGCTGGAGTGCAGTGGCACGATCTCAGCTCACTGCAAGCTCTGCCTCCTGGGTTTGCGCCATTCTCCTGCCTCAGCCTCCCCAGCAGCTGGAACTACAGGCGCTCGCCACCACGCCTAGCTAATTTTTTGTATTTTTAGTAGAGACGGGATTTCACCATGTTAGGCAGGATGGTCTCGATCTCCTGACCTCGTGATCCACCCGCCTCGATCTCCCAAAGTGCTGGGATTACAGGCGTGAGCCACCACGCCCAGCCAAATGAATTTTATTATATTTTATTTTTATTTTTATTTTTTTGAGACAGGGTCTTGCTCTGTCACCCAGGCTGGAGTGCAGTGGTGCGATCTCGGCTCACTG